TATAGGGCTCAGCTAGATGCTGAAAGGGCACGAAAACTTGCACATGGGAAAAATCACTCCAGCAGTAAATCCAGCCGCAGAAAGGGTAATGTATAGAATGAACGGTAGCTTGTTCTTTATCCTCCTTTTTTTATTCGTTTCAGTTGACAACTTCCCTTTTGTTGTTTTAATGGTTATTCAGATAAGGACAAAGATGCAAAGAAACATAGTAGCAAGAAGCGAAAGGTGCGTGAGGTAATCTTTATTTAGATATGCTATTCATGTATATCGTCAACTGATTGTCTGCTGGTTAAGGCTGTCTTTGGTAAACATATAAGATAGCTTATAGCTTATTTGATTTAGCTTATAAGCTTTTTATATTCAATTAAGCTTTGTTTAGTAGGACGGGTTTTGTTAAAAGGCTCGAGCTTATCTCATAAGCTTCCTTGAGTAGCTTTTCAAATAAGACCATTTAAATTTGTATTTCAGCTAGCTTATTAGCTTATTTTACCAAACATTTTTTTTCATATAAGCTAGCTTTTCATTTATAAGTCATACTATCAGATATAAGCTCGAAATTCACGTAAAAGCTATAAGCTTATTAAAAGCTATAAGCTTATCAGCTAATTTTACAAAATATTTTTATCATATAAGCTAGTTTTTCATCCATAAGTCATAAGTTATTAGCTATAAGCTCGAAATTCACTTAAAAGTAATAAGCTACCTTATCACATAGGTTTACGAAACGTAGCCTAACTTATTTATTTATATGTTCAATTTGGACAATGGACATGAGCGTGTTAAGTGTTTTAACTGTTGGAATGAGTAGTTACAGTTTTGATAACTATGCTCTAAGGCTTCAAACTATGGTATTATTTATGCCACACTGCAAAAGGATAAAATAAATAGATTAGTAATGAGGCAACTAGGAATGAATACGACACCAGCTATGCTATATGTGGCATTTATTTATAAATATTGCGTGCGTGTGTGTGTTTGCCTTCCAAGTAGAGTTCTTTATGTGCTACATTATGTATTTGTTGAATATATTATCTAATGCCAATACTTGTGGTATTGCATTTCTTGATATAGCTGAGGTTTTTTGATTCTCTTCTTAGAACCATAGTACACGAATAAGAATACTTATTGACCAAGTCAACTTTATCTGACACTTGATTGTAGCGTTCAAGGCGATCATCAGATTCTAGTTCAAGCTCTTCGTCAGAAACATCGAGCAGTGATACTGATGATGAGAGAGATTCAAAACGGTCAAAATCAAGGTCAAAGAGAAGTAAGAAAGGTAAGAAGCACCGCTCGAGATCAAAGCACTTGAACAGTGAAGATGAAGAGACGGATGGACCTTTACCGCTTTCTAGATTCTTTGGGAGCATAAAACGATGATTCTCGTTTTATAGGTACTGTGTTCTTTGCTTTGGTAAGGGGCACTCGATAATTTGATCCGGCATGTTTCTGGGCTCTGAGGCTTAACTATTCCATTTTCCTTTATTTATGGTGCTGCTTAAATGTGGTGGACGTCCTTGTGTATGTTGTTTCGTGCAGTGAACTTTAAATTGCGCAAAATTTGTGAAAGCTTTGAACCAAATATAAATCATTTGTTGCTAGTTCTTTGCGTTTCTTTGCAAGAGAACTTCCGGTTGGAACTTTTATTAGTCTCTGTCCTTGTTATTCATTGCCATTGCTCGTCGGTGTTTGCTTTAAATTGGTTAAATTATTAGAGTAAGATATATCCAAAAAAAAAAAACACATACTTATGTTCTGAAATGTGATGTTTCTTTTGACCGTCATATCCACTTGTTCTGATTCACCTAGGTGGATTGGAGTAATGAGTACGGAAAATTGATTTAGAAGACTCGGGGAGAAACTTTGAGGTTACACCTACATAATCGTCTGGAACATTCGTCTGAAAAAAGTGTCCCGAGCAAATTATATATAAAAAAAAGGAAGAAAGGAAGAAAAATGAACAAAGTGAGAAACTTTTGTCTTAGCCATTTGTTTTCATTTTCCTATGTATGGAGTTGGTTTGTAGCTCTCTTGGTTTTGTTGTGAATTTCAGTGTTTGTAAAAATTGGCTTGTGAAACCATATGTGGAAGAACTTTGAATGTGTTTATATTGAGTGATTTTAGATTGTAAGAAAACATATTCTTGAGTCGAACACTATAAGAATTTCTGGGTAAATGAGATTGGAACACACTGCGTCATTAAAAACAAGTCGATTAATTTATCTTTTCGAATTGTTATCGAGTAGTTTGAGCTATATGATAGGTAGAAAAAAGTGTTTGTATATATTTATTAGTATATTTTTATATACTCAATTTTGTGACATTTATATATTTTTCAACTTATTTATTTTTTAGATGGATTCAAATGATACGATATATTTATGTTTGATTTTTATGGAGGGCGAGGTATTGAACAAAATTTCTAGTCCAACAGGTTACGGGTACCTAACATCAGCCTATAGGTATGTCATATATTTGGTGAATGAAGGCCCAATAAAAAAATTATTAGGTGCCACGGAAATAAGTAAACGCCTTATCTCATTGTTTAAACAGTTTTCCTAATTACTCCAACTTATTATTTAGACAAAATAACTCCTTCTATTTTCAATTATACATTTTTTTGGATGCTTTTGGGGTTTAATAAATATGGCGGTTGTTTATTTTATTTGATTTTATTTTTTTAGCCGCCGCAACTTTTCATAATATCTGTCAGTTTTATAGAAAAATAACTGTCCAAACCCTTTTCTGCTTTTCATATTCTTCCTCTTTCTTCTTAGGCTTCTGCTTTTTCTTTCTATTAGGGTTCTTAAGCACCCTAAAAATCAAATAAGATTACTCAGAATTTTCAATTTCAGAATGAATTCAGAACGAAAGTAAAGAAGAAGAATAAGAGATGGTTTGGATGACAAGATTTCTAACCACGCTGGCGTTTCTCGCAATTAGGTTAATTTTCTAGCCGGAAATCTTCAGATCGAAATCGGACGGCCAGAACTCTCCGGTGCTCGTGACCTGACTGAAATTGGCTCACCTCCTCTGTTTTCCATCGCCTGGGCGCTACCTTGTGGGTGACTTTCATAGGCGGAATTATCATGTTCGAGTAATGATTTTTTTCCTTCTCTTTAGCTCCTGATGAGGCCGCTTGCTGGGTGTGCCGGTTTGAGAAGTCGACGGTCTGGAGGCAGGCCTGTTCAGCTGAGTAGGAAAATTGTTGATCAAACGTCGAGGAAGGTACCGACGGATTTTTAATGGTCCTAAAATTGACAAGTTGAGACTGTTTAGGTGGTGTTCGATTAGGTTGAAAATTGTTTTTATGTTTCTTTGACAATTTTGTAATTTATTTTTTTGGTAATTGAGAGTTGTTTTTATATTTCTTGATAATTTTTATGTTGTCTTTTTATTGTTACTTCGTTGATTTTTTTGCCTGTGGTAATGAACATAAATGAGATTACTATTAATGATTTTTTTAGTTGTTTTGTGTAATCTTGATGAATTTGTTACGACTTTTTGTTGTTTCATTCATTTATTTGTATAAAATTGAAATTTGTCAATATTTTAATTGTTTTTATGTTGCTTGACAAATCGTATATTGTTGTTTTGTTGTTAATCTTGTTTTTTGTTTTCATAATTTTTGTCATCAATTTCTAAAGTTATAATAACAAAAAATTTGTTGTTTTTTAGTTAATTCAATTGTTATGTATGTTATTCTTTTTATTTATGTTATATCATTTTGGTTATTTTTTGATTTTTTTTCTTAGGTATTCATGTTTGGAGGAGAAGAATAAGAAGAAATATTTAGAGAAGAGGAAAATAAGAAACAGGAAGAAGATAGAAATGATGTGGGGGAAAGAGATTGGAGAGACAGAGAAGAGAAATAGAGAGAATGAAAAAAAATAGACGAGAGAGAGAGAATGAAAAAGGAAGAGAGAAAAAAAAAATAGATAAGGATGTTCAAGAGAGAAATAAATGAATAAAGATGTTGAATAGGTAGTTTTTAAAAATAATATTGCATCTTTATTTGATTTTCATTTTTATTTTTTTTCGTGATCTGCCTATTTTTGTCTAATGTTTGGAGTAAATTAGGTATTATGTATGGCTTGCACTGTTATGTAAAGTCATTGTAAAAAGGAGCAGTTATAAAATTTTCCCGGGCCAAGTGCTCCAAGTTAAAGGACCAAGGGTCATGGATCATGATTTTTTTTTAAGTGAATAATGATAATTTGTCCAAAAATAAAATTGCGTGAGAGTCACTTAGACATCTTTAGTCCTTATCTCTATTCTAGTACAGAGTTTACTCTAATCTAGAGTCTAGAGTAGAGTTAACCAAAAATCAAATTCGGCCTCTTACCGTTCGCGCTACATTCTACTCACAAAAAAGGAAGCTTCTTTTCAAAGAAGCTGGAGGCCCATATGTTATTCATTTTGTTTAAATTTATTTAATATGTCAAAATATTATTTAATTGGATATATTATTTTATAAAACAAAATATATCTTAATATTAGTTGGTCTTCCACTGGTTTGAAATATTATTCCAAAAGAATTATTTTTATATAATATTTGATTTATTTTATAGTAATTCAATATAAACATATATTTTTTAATAGTAATATTTGTATGTAATTCTCAAATTAAATTATAAACTTAATGGTAAAAATTTTGTCAATTAATGAATCTTAAGATAAATCAATTGCATATAATAAAAAAAAACAAATAAAAATTGTAGAGTAATGAATAGTACCGCGCCAGATGTAGCGCGATACTGTTCATAACTCTAGAGTAGTGCAGAGATGTAGCGCAACGTTGGAAAACAACTTTGTCTCTACTTTAGCATATTACACTAGAGTAGCGCAGCACTGGAGATGCTTTTATTCGAGGAGAGGCGCTAACTTAGGGCGCGCTTGTGTACTAAATATCCGCTCAAAATGAGTTTTTTTAATCAAAGTTAAATTTGAAAAATGTGGTATGATTAATTGCTTGTTGAATTTTAAGAATTATTGAAATAAGACTAATGATTAAAATTGATTTGATATAAAAGTAGGAGATAAGTGATTGGAAATGATATGTATTTAAACTTATGTGAGTGAATGAATAGTGAATTAAAGTTGATATGATGTGTAAAAATTATTGGTTTGTATTATGCAATTATATGAATAGTATTAAGGATAGTAGGGTTAAATTACAGTTGAGTTAGATTTTGAGTATGAATTGAATGAGAGTGAAATAATTTATAAACAAACATTTGGTTGGATATAAATTATTTTTGTTTTGATTGGATTTATTGGCTAACCAGAGTTAATTTAAAAAAAAGTTAATATGATTAGGTTTAAGTGAGATTTTCAGTTTATATTAAAAATATATATAAAATATATTGGTTACAGTTGATTTGATGAAAACGTAAAAAAAAAAAAGTGATTGTAATTGATGTGTAATTAAAATTATGTGAGTGAATGAATAATGAATTAAAATTGATGTGATATGTGAATATGATTGATCAATATTATTTAATTATTTTGATAATATTAAAATAAATTGAGTTGAATTAAATTTGAATTAAATTTTGAATTAAAAAAAAAAATACCTGATCAAATATTTTATAAACAATGAGGGCTTGAATGTTTTAAGCCGCATATTATTCACTTCTCTTTATTAATTTATAAAACAGCCCCATTAACAAACGTATGACATCGCATTTTTCGCATGATTCCAACTACAACCAAAATGTAGACATGTTTACGGGCGAACCTGTCCGTG